ATCAAGACTTCTTGAACTTACGTGTTTTCTAACATCATGAATGTTTGTTTGTTTTAAGCACAAATGTGCACATTGGGCTATTTTTGCTGTACCTATTGCAGGATGAACCCAAAAGTTTAGGGTTATTAAAATATACATTATTTTTATGTGTGAGAGAGAGAGACTTGTTTTATTTTGAAACTTGAAGCAAATTTTGCAATACACAGTATACAGCACAAGTTAAAATTTGCTCAGTTAGCGCACTCCAAGTAGTCTCAGTTTGAAAGTTTGCAGAACCGATCACGTGGTGTCGCCACTAAGTTAATTTGAGATATAATAAAATATGGTATTTTCCTGATACGTGTATCATCGGAAGATGTGTTGGATATACCCAAATATGAACCAATACTAAAACTCACAGAAAAGCGAATATTAGGATAAAGGCATACAGTTAAGATATAGAAAAAGAAAACATCTTATTTTAAACTTGTGCCCGGCATGGCCAGGTGGATAAGGCGCTCGAGTCACAATTTGAGGGTCGCGGGTTCGAATCCGCATCCCACCAAACATGCTCGCCCTTTCAGACGTGGGGGCGTTATAATGTGACGGTCAATCCCACTATTCGTTGGTAAAAGAGTAGCTCAAGAGTTGGCGGTGGGTGGTGATGACTAGCTGCCTTCCCTCTAGTCTTACACTGCTAAATTAGGGAAAGTTTGTTTGTTTGTTTGTTTTGGAATTTCGCGCAAAGCTACACGAGGGCTATCTGCGCTAGCCGAATCTCACCAATAAATATAAAAAAAGATAATGCAACAACACTATCAATTCTATTATCAATCTTAAACACCTCTATCAGACCTATAACTCTTCTTTTTTTCCAAAGGAAAACAAGTTCAGAGGTCTTAGCCTATCCTTTTATGATAACCTTTCCATCCCAGGTATAATCCTGGTAGCCTCCGTCTAAACCCTTTAGACATTTCAGTGTCCTTTCTGAAGTAAGGTCTGAATACAATACTCCAATTGTGGCCTATTCTATAACTTATACGATGATATTATAACCTATTTAGACTTGTATTCAGTATTTCTGTAGACACAAGCTAAAATCCTTTTACCCTGCCACTAACAACAACACATTGCATGTATGGATTAATAGATTGATCAACCAGAACATGCAAAATTTGTTTTTTCCATTACACTGTTAAGGTTATTCGTATCAAAATTATAGTCATAGTTCAAATTGTGATATTCTACATGCATTACCTTGCATTTATTACAAATCAAAGCTATCTTCTATTTATTTATCCAACTTGCCAAATAATCCGAAAACTTTTTTTAAGGGAGTATCACCCTCTAACATCCAGCAACAACCAATAATCTGTTGACCACTCTTTCATCTGTGTCATCAAAAAGAGCAAATGTGATAACACCGAGCTCTGAGGAACTCTATTTCTGACATTTAATTCAATTTGACTGAAATCCACTTATGACAATTCTCAGCTTTCTTCCATTTAAACAGTTTTCTGTCCAATGAGCCAACCTTTCTCCCCACAACTACAAAGATAACTTTTTTAATAAGCCTTTCATGTAACACTTTCTGAAAAGTTAAAAATCTAGATACACCGTATCCACATCTGTACACTCATCTAAAGCAGTAACCTCTTCCAAGAATGTCCAAAGGTTAGTAAGGCAAGATTTTTCCCTAGTGAAACCATGCTAACTAACCAAAAAAATTTTAAACTTTGTTAAATGATATTGCAAAGTATCTTTTATCAAGCATTCAAAAACTTATCCCAATACTGATATAAAACTAATAGTTCTATAATTATTATGATAAATTTTACCACCTCCTTTGAAAAGAGTAATAATATTAACCAGTTTCCAATTTCATGCTCACTGTTCAAGAACTTTAGAAAAAATGATAGCAAGTGGCTCACATATCCAATCCTTAACTTCTTTCAGAATCACTAGGTAAATATTATCTTGGACCAGTAGCTTTATAATTCTTTAAACTTTCCTTTTTTTTTTCTTAATAAGCTCAAAATTGATCTGATCATCTTGTTCAGTCTTCTTTCCACCTAGAAACTGTTTAGATTGAGAAATATTGCTTAAATATTCATTAGTAGAAACTGGAAAAAAGTAGAATTTAATAACCTAGCATCTTATAATCATCAGATATTAGCCTTCTGGTATCATCCCTCAAAGTCCCAACTCCCATCTTAATATTTTGCTTACACTTAATGTATTTAAAGAAATCCTTATTATTTATGTTTACATTTTCAGCCAACCTTTTTTTCATAAAGTTTTTTGATTTCCTAATTTCACCTTTGACCAACTTTCTTGATCTTCTGTCATCTTCCAAATCTTCCATCATTGTAGTGAATTTAAACTTTGTATATTTATGCTTTTCTTTAAATTTATCCTCTGTGAGCCAACCTAGTGTTTACTTGCAGACACTTCTTTTTTTTTTGTTCATAAGGAACATACCTATCTTAAATATTTAAGAATTTATTTATAAAAATTTGTACGTTTGATCAGTATCTCCAACTAATCCAGTTGCCCAATTCACAGTACATAATTCACGTCTCACCTTTTTCAAAATTTGCTTTTTTATGAAACTTGGAATCAAAATCTCATTATTCCCTATCTCCATATGCAGCAAAACGTCAAATTTTATCGAGCAGTGATCACTTGCACCAAGATATTCCCCAGTCTCTTCCCTATCGATCATTTTGTTTATATTAGAAGTTAAGAATAAATCAAAAATAGCATTGTTCATTGTAAGTTTCCTAACCAATTGTTTAAGAAAACCATCCTGAGCAGTTACTATAAACCTGTTTCCCTCATGATTTGATCCTAACGTTTCTCACTCTATATGCCTGAAATTAAAATCACCCATAGTCATAACCTCATTAACAGTTGAATTCTTTATATCCCTGTAGAGTTTCTCATTAATTTCATCAGTTTCATATGGTAATCTGTAATGAATTCAAACTTTAAGTCTTTTTTTTCCTTGTAACCACTAACAGAAACTCGCATAGATTCTTTCCTTATTGTTATTAACTTTGATATTTTCAACTAGAACTGGCTGTATCTCCCATTATATGTATAAAGCCACTTCTCCCCATCTTTTTAGTACTCTGTCCCTATTAAACAACCTATAACCCTGTATTTCAGAGAAATTTTGTCATCATATTGTCTACATTTAGTCAAATTTAAGTTATTCCCATTATATCAAATCCTTTATTCTGACCATAGATCTGAAGTCATCCATTTTATTTCTGATACTTCTAGCATTACATTAATAACAGTTTAGCCTACCAATAAAAATATCTCTGTATCTTATTCCCGACATTATACCCCTCTCTACATCTCATTTTTTCTTCATTATTCAGGCCCTCTCCACTGTCCTTACAATTGAGTTAATATTCTTTGCAAACAAGCCAGCCTCTACCTTATTTAAATAAAGTTATCCATTCCAAAAAGCTGCATTTCCCATTGAACTGATCACATAAATACAACCAGCTAACCTGCTTATCATATCTAAAGCCTAGTATTCAGCACCAGTGAACTACTTATAAGTTCATCCTCACAATTAAGTCTTGGCAGTGTCCCAGACAGACTTAAGGTATTATGATTTCAAATTTGATGACGAGGAACCCACTTTGAGACTAATAATGGCTGGAGATGGCTTGAGTGGGTAATGAAGAAAAACTTTAATATAAGTTTAACATAACAGCAAATGTACAACGTTTCGACAAGGTTTTGTCATCATCAGGTACGTACCTCTAAATATTGCTGCTATTTCCTGCAGTTTGCTTTCTGTAGATGAAATTTTTATAAAGTTGTATTAATAATTGAAAACTTGTAATTTTTTCTTTCTTTGAATAGCATTAGCATATGAACTTTTGTATAAACGTGTTTTTCGAATGGGAGATGAAGTGGATACAGCTGTTCAGAAGATGCTTCATGACAAAAATTATTCCAAACAAAGAAAAAATAATATAGCACATGGAATAACCAGAGAAAAGTAAGAATATTCTTTAAATATGAATACTTAATTTTTGTAGAATGTTTTTGAGATATTTACCTAAAAGGTTGTGTGACACAGACATATGTAAAAATGCTATTAAACTTGTTTATATGACAGCTGTTTAGTTTACAAAGATACCAACCAATGTTTTAATGAGCTAAATCTATCGGTTTTTTTCTTTTAGTATGTCAAAAAAGCTAATTTATCTGTTAATTAAACTTAAACAGTTTTTAGAAATCCATAATTTTCCAAGGAAAATCCTCTTAGAGGATTTAAGCTTTCAAAAGTTTTAGAACTTAAAAAGGAAATTTGATACATATTCAGCCATTTATGTAATTTAATAAAGATTTCAAGTAATTCATCCTTCCAATTTAAAAAAGCAATGGAAGTTGTATCACGTACATTTTTATAGAATAAAGTTTTGCCTGAACATGGCCTAGTGACTTGTGTACACATGCCTTGAATCCAAGGGCTGTTCTTGTATTATTACTGCAAATATACACACCCACACTTCAGGACCATGTGTACAATAAGTAGTGATGGCCAAATCCCATTGTTTATAAAATGAGTAGCCCAAGAGTTGGTGGTAAGTGCTTTTGACTAGCTAGCTAGCTGACTTCTCTTTGTCTGTAAGTTCAAAATGGCTGTGTACAGATATCTCTTGTGTAGCTTTTTGTGAAAATCGTGAAACATAAAACATCTTCATGTAACAATATAATGTTTAGCATGCATTTTCAAACATAAAAATTTTAAGTGATTACAGTTTGCTGAGGAAATAAGTTAAATCTAGTTAAATTAGGTGCTGTTAAATATTAGGTCATCAAGAAATTGATGTCGCATTTTGGAACACTTTCATTACCCCACCCTCAAAAAAGCAACGTACATCACTTATAATAGTTAAACGAACTTCCTAAATGTCATATTAGTGTAACCTATATAATGTGTAAAGTTTAGTTTACTCTAATCCCTTATAGTGATGGCACATGATGAGGCACATTCTGCATTTAATGCTGTTTGAATACAAGAAAGGAAACAATGCCTCTGTAGCCACAAAGAATATCAAAGAAGATTATGGAAATGTTTTGAATGTTCGTAAGTGTCAACGATGGTTCAGCAACTTTCATTCAGGTGGCTTTAGCCTTAAAAACAGTGATGGCATAGGCCAACATGTTGGAATTGATATTGATGCTCTGAAGATGCT